AAGCTGGAAAATAGTGTCACAGGCGCCTTTTACCTAAAAACTTAACCTGTTAAATTTATATGGCCCCTGCAGGGGGCGGAGCTTCTCACAGCCAGAGGGACTTTTTGTAGTTTGTTGAGGATTTTCTAAAACATTTGTTTTTGTTGAAAATAGAAAAATGCACCATCTTCTTTTCAAGGATAAAATTCAGAACTCTGGGAAAATATGATGGGCATTTTTTTTCAGCAACTTTAACTGAAAGTTATGACATCAATGTAAAAAAGTCTCCTCTTTCCCCGTATTCATCCGCCCTGATAGTCCGAGCCAAGCCTGGACCAGAGCGATGTATAAAGAGGTTTATGTTATAACCAAACATCAGTAGGAGGAACTCCGCTTGGCTCACAGGGAACAGTCCTCCCTCTAACTCTCATGTGGGCGTCTGTAATTTACAGACGGGCATCACAGAAACTTGACATCCAGCCGTGCTCTCACAGAATCTCACGTGACGCAAACCGAAGTAAAACAGGCCTCTGACGTCAGGATCCACCTCAGATCCCACACCTGAAGTGCTGAGGCATCGTAAGTCAGGCTCACCGCGAGGCTCTGCAAACGTCCCGCAGCTCTGCAGCAGCGTGTGTGAAGAACAGCCGTCCACAATGTGCTGTTTGTGCAAGAAGCTGCAGCCAATTAGGAACATGATCCCTCCCTGCCAGGCCAACCAGAGGCGCAATATAGGTTCAAATAAAATATTTTCTAAAGGGGCATTCACAGTGTCTGCTGTCTGCTCAGACCTCGTATCAGCCACACGTTTCTGTTTAGTTTATACTCGTTAACTTAAACAGCTTCATTCAAATTCTCAGAAAGGAGAAACTGAAGAAGTATTAGGCATTTGTATGTGTCACATTTTTATACCTTTTACTGTATTTTTATTCTTTTTGCATCTTTCTATAACACAGTTCATACAGATGAGTTACATTTTAAGTTTTTAAAAACTCTTTGAAGGTCTTCACTTTATCTGTTTTATATTTGATCAGATCATTTGTTTGGTTCATTTTTGGGGCTTCCTGCTCCTTACACGTTTACAGCAGTCAGCAACTTTCGAAGTTTGTCTTCTCATTTATTTTCCAGACCACAGCTCTGACTTTCATGTCCTTGTTTTTCCTCTCAGGTCTCCCAAATCTCTGCTCTGCGTCGTTCCCGATGTTTCAGTTTTCAGCGACGGCTGGCGCTGTCTGCGGCGCGTCATCACCGTCCCTCTGTCTCTCGTCCGACTGGATGGACTGATTTATCGCACCTCCTACAGTTTCACCTACACGCCTGAGCTCCAGCCGCCCCCGTCGGCCCGAATCACAGCCGGAGGAGGGAAGAGAGAAGGAGGGATGGGTGTAGGACAAGACGATGACATCCTGTTGGAGACCATCCATCAGGAGTTCACCAGAGCCAATTTTCACCTCTTCATGCAGAGTTAGTTCGTTTGTTCACAGGAATCACAGAAAGTGTACAAATAGCTGGTGTGACATCATAATTACCTTCCTTCCATCTGCTCTGCACATTAAAATTAAAGCGTTTTCTTCAAGCTCAGTAAGAAAGCAAAATCTTATGTTTACATGAGTACGAGTGCACACGAATGAAAACAGGTTCCTCGGTCACGTGACTGAAACTAACGCGACACTTTTCATATCTGTGATTTCTAATCGAGGCTTCAGCACAAAGTTCTTTGACAGAAATTGTGTATTTTAAAAGCCTTTAATAACTTTAGACAAGTGTTAACAGGAAACAGGAGATGAAATGGAAAAAAAAGGATGGCTGACGCCCCCTGATGTCACTGATGTCTCTCTGTTGAAGCTTCCACGTATGCAGTTCGACCTCAGCCTCACTATTATTTTGGAGCCAGATGTGATCACATCTGTTAATCTGCTTACCTGCTAATTAGTGGCAGACTAATAAAAAAGAGACTTTTCAACACCGAAACCGAAGCGCAGACTTGGATGTACAGCTGTGTTGATCTCAGTGGATCAGCAGTGTGATGAAAACACGCTGGCAGGAAGAAGTCTTGACATTAATAAAAATAAATCACTAGATCC